ATATATGAAACCTCGAACGTTTTTGTTCATTAAAATCTTTCTACAGTGAACAAAAAAACAAACAAAACAAAACAACAAGTAAGTAAATACACAAAAATAAACAACACGATGAGGAGATTAAGACCGACCATAACAATAACAATAACAAAATGTTATTGTTTTGCTTGTTTTTGCACATTCTCTTCAACCAGCATGTTTCAGTCCTTCTTTATAGGCCAATAAATCTTTTTCATATCTTTTCTTATCCTCTTCTGCTTTCTTCTCCCATTTCTGCAAAAAAATAAAGAAACCATACAAATATTCATCATTTGTTGATTATTGCTGACATATAAACAGTTATCTTTTCTAAATTTTTCGTTCCGTTATGCTCGGTTTCGTTTTTATTTATATTTTTAAGATTATACTACAGTTTAGCTTGTTGAAACTATCACAGATATGAGAGTGAACCTAATGCAATTTTTGCTGTTGTAGCAGCTGCAATCATGTTATAGTGCAGCTATGCGTCCTGCATATCAAAAAAATCTTAAAGAATCATTCCTAAATACCAACCCGTCAGTTTCAAGACCAAACTTTTTAGACAAAATCTTAACCACGAAACTGAAACATAGACAAAACGCTAGCGAGATATCTGTTCTTAAGTCACACCTATAATAATGTTTAGCTAACAATTACTACACACATCATTCTTATTTATATAATAAACAAGTATATGGCTATCAACTGAATGAATAAGCGTGAATGAATGTATATAGAAGAACAAATTAATATACTCACCGACTTATCGGCAAGCTTTGCCCATTCAGCGCCGGCTGCCTTAGCCACATCAGCTACTCCCATACCCGGCTTCTTCAGACGTTCACGATTCTCTTGCATCCAAAAGAAGAATGCTGACATTGCACGTTTTGGCGCATTCGGATCTTTCGTTTTCTTACCGATTGTTTTTTTGACTCCCTTAGAATCATGAACGTTTTTTTAAAGAAATGATAATCATATGACAATCATTATTATTGTCATTATCATTTATATCAGTAATAACGACTCATTTATTTACAATATATTCTTCTCTAAACAAAAACCCTACACCTTTCTATATGGGAAATGCATTGCACTCAGTTTTGAACCTACATTTATTTGGTTATGATCATGACGTACAATACCACTGAGGAGCATTAACAATGAAATAGTAGCAAGAACAATTCAAATGATTTCAAGAGAACAACTCTGTCTGGACCCGTGGTTCTCACGCTCGAGTGCTCCATTACCCATTTTGATGATCTGGCGACTAAATCGGCCATCAAAAACGAAAAGCAATGAGAAAAATCATTCTTCCGCGATAAAAAAAAAAAGAAATTTGACAACACGTTCAACTGCTCATGAAGAAGGAAGATGCAGTAAACATTTGAGGATTTATCTTCGAGATGAACAGGAAAGCAATTAAATTCGAATTATTGAGCGTTTTGAGATGCGACAGGTGCATTAAGTCTGACATTCCCCTTCTACTTTTCAAGCATTTCAGTCATTAATATCATAAGAAATGTCGTCGTTCATCACGCAAGAAGTATTATATCGGTTAAAAAAACACCCATAAGCGATACAAAAATTAGAAATTGTAAAAATTGAAAAAAGAAATCGATATTATCAAATTCAGAAGTACTCGATCTTTCTACACTAAACCAATGATCTTTTCTGTCTTGCCAAAGAGCTCAATCAATTCTTACTGCTCATGAGAGACGATGTCAGCCAATATATTAAAGCACTTACGAGATATTTGTGACTTCTTCAAACTGACTTTTGTTCAGGCCTAAACTAACTAAAGATACTCATAAAATAGGATGAAGACGAATGTTTCCTTGAGGGAGCCGCGTTCAGATATCCGAATGCAAAATATCCATCACTGTAGCGTTTCATCATAACAAAACAACACCAAATATCAGTTCCTCTCAATCAATCCCCAATGTTGATGAGAGACGATGTCAGCGAATATATTCAAGCAATTAAGAAACATTTGTGACTAAACAGACTTTTGTTTAGGTCCGGATGAGCTAATGATACTTTGAAAATAGAAGGAAAAAGAGTGCTGCCATGAACTAATCGCATTTACATACCCAAGTGAAAAAAAACACTATCACAATATAACAACTGTACGAAATACCAATCTCCCGACCCCCTCCGTTACCCCCCACGAGACCGCCAAATCACTCAAAATGGGTACTGTCACCCCCTATGGGAACCACTGGTCTAGACGATGATTATATAAGCAGCAACAGCATCAACTTCAAAAAAGCTTCTGTAAAGGTGAATGCACAACTTTTCAATCGTTGATCAACAACGCCTCATCTTATTTCATTCTTTTGACGTAGAAAGAAACACACAACACCCAAACCACCACAATGATCAATAATATCGACTTCTACTGATCGAAGTGAACTCTACCGAATTCAATGAATAAATTGTTTCCTTTCTTCTTTATCCACTTTCAATTTCCAACCAGACAAACATAGAATATGGTTGAAAACTTTCCCTTATTCGGAAGATTAAACGTTAGTGTTTCAGGCAGCATTAGAAAAACATAAAACCGCAGCAGTGGTAGAAAGATCGAGATCAATGTGGAAAGAATAAACTAATCAATTTTTGTTTCCAAATTATTCACATCGGAAATCAAGAGGATGGTTCAAATGTTTTAACACGACTTATGATCATTGCAAAAAATATGTTGATTAACAATCAACAGACAATATACCTAACTAGCAACAATTGTTCGTGATTTTCAACAGACGATCATCAACTCAACAACAAGAAACAAACACATCTGCCGCATTCAGTACTCATTCAAATCAGTAAAGTCCTTCAATAATATGATAATAGATTCTCAAGAAATTATTAAATGGTTGATGAATAATGCACAAATTATTGCTCAAGAAACTGCAGCTATGTTCTCCTTATTCACATCAATTTAGCTCAACAAAACGATTTTTGAAAATAGAAATTCCCGAAAAGGAAAGAAAAACTAACTGATAGTCTCACCTGTTTTGCCATTCCAACAAATGGCTGGATGAATAATTAGCGGCTAGATGAACGGATATATAAATGAATGAAAGGATGGAATGGATGGACGATTTTAGCGGCAGCAGCAGCAGCAGCAGCAGCGGCGGCAGCAGCAGCAGCAATAACAACCAAAAGTAGCTTTCCTCTTTTTCTTCTCGGTTTAAAAAAATGGATATATATTTATACAAATTCCAGATCAAACGATGTACGTAATCGTGGCCAAACTTTTACTGAAAAATCAAAATGCAATGGGTTGCAAAAGCAAGGTACACTTCAATGTTTCCAAATGATACGAGAATGGATGAATGAATGAACGAACGAACAAAGAAACACAACGACGAACAATGCAATAGACTACTGAAATAAATTCCAAATCGTTCTTTTTAAAACTGAAATTGAAACTAAAATATACTGTTGTTCGCCTTTTTCGTTCTCTCAAAAATATTATATATACTTTCGTCTCCTTCTCCTCCTTTCACAAGTAGTTGAATGGAATGGAATGGAACACAATGAACGAAGCTCTGTTGGTATTGTTGGTGGTAGTAGTAGTGAACTTGTCGATTGCTAGCCACTTACTGGCTTCTTCGGTTCTTCTTCAACAGCACCCGCGACAACAAAATACAGACATAGTATTAGTAATAGCAGTTATTAGTAGTAGATATGCGATATGTTGCTTAGAGAGAAACATACATGATGCCTGCCTGCCTATTGAAACTGTTCTTTTTACATGTATTCGTCATATATATGTATATAT